ATCCATAACTGAATAGTTGCAATTTACCTAATTTTGAAACTTCTGGGCCATTTTGATTGTAGATGTTTGATACTTTGTATGTATCCATATTCCTTCAAAATTCGACTGCAGATACGAGTTAAGTTGGGGAAATGAAAAAAAAATCAATCAGGGAGTGCAGTAAAAGGATTTTGAGGAATTTAAGGAATGCCAACACCACTTGCATGACACCCAGACTGCTTCTTGGATCAATAACTCATCAGCGAAAATAACTTAATAAACGTGATTTGTTTTCCTTAAAATTAATGATATTAATGATTAATTAATTAATTATTAATGACATTGCACATATATTTACTATAACTGTGTGTTTTTTTTTGTTTTTTTTTTTTTTTGCGGTAGCATTGCGTTGAAGGTAAATCCGTCTACACGCCCATTATTACAAGACTTAAGTGTGGAAAGACGCCGGCGGACCCCGCTGGATATTGGGAACAACAAGGATTTGGTATCATAGCACTATATAAGTCTGACTGGGACAGAATAGGGGGACTAAACGAGAAAAGTGGAACGTACCTGTGGGGAAGTGAAGACTGGGAGCTAATGGAGAATATTGTTTCACGTGGTGGACTGGAATACGAGCGTTTGAAGAATTTTAAAATGTTTCACTTCAAGCATTCAAAAAAGGGTTTATGGACTGGGGACAAGAATTTCGGAGCAACATCATTCTCAGACTGATCCCATTCACTTCGAGGCTTACATGCTCATGGAACCGTTTGGTCTGGTCACTGATCAACCAATCTTTAATAATTGCAACTCCAACGTGCCTCATTTCTTATGTGCTGGGGCCAAACACAAAAAATGTTTTACTAAAATTTTTCATTTTTCAATTGAGTCAAGGTTACATAAAGAGGGGCTTAATTTTTATTCATTTCAGTTCTAGCAAAGTGTGTTTCTGTATTCTATTGTGTTTACATAACTGAGATTCTTCAGGAAAGAGTAAATTATCTTCAAAATGAGATCTTACTAATAGTGACAATTTCTKCACTAAATGAAATCGTATATTTAAATTATGACTTCTGAAGGCACAATTATACTGTGATCTTAAATTTCAAACGTTTTTCCTTTCAYGGCTTCATGATCAGTGAATTAATGCAAATACAAAGTGCTTTGACGAGAGTTATAAAGATTGGGCTCTCATTGATTATTCTATTGAAAGAAAACATCCTATACAACCCTTCATGCTGCTSTTCTTGTGATTGCGTATTTCTAAAGGTTCTATTGTTCTGTGCGTGTTAAGATTATTTAGGTTAGAATGTAAAACTTCACAAGAGATGTCTTTTTGCTAGTATTTCTCACATTAAAGATTTCATCATTTTACATCAAATCTCGTGGATAGATGTATAGTGAGTCTAAATATATATATTTTTTTCGCCAAACCCGCAAAGTGACTTATCAATTAATAACAATTGTATACAGTCAAAAGACATGAAGCGCAAAAACAACAACTCTTTATTTGTACCTTTRACAAAAGTTTACAATTGTGATCCTGACTAAATTAAATTACAGTAGGTACTGGCCCTAACAAATAACTTGGAAGCTAAAAATGGGTTAGGACCAGGAAACAGTTATACATTTTACATTGTTAAGATGACGGAGCTATATTCGACGGAAAGAGATATGTTACAGATAACACGCACACACATAAAACACACACACAAATGTTTTGGAGGAAGATATAGATAAATATAAATATTAGATACAATTTTAATACAGTATTTTTAAATCTTTTTTGCAATATAATCAATATGAAATTTCCATGATAAACAAAAATCAATATAAATTCCAAGATATTTTATAGTTTTTTCTTGTTTCAGATTTTTGTTATTTAAAAGAAGCTGAAAATCATTTGCAATTTTTCTTTGACGTGGGTGGAATAAGACAAAATTAAATTTCTCAATATTCAGTGACAATTTATTTGCAGATAGCCAGGTATGAATATTAATTAGCTCASARTTAATATTTCGTTGAAGAATATCAATATCTTTGTGCCTATAAAATAGATTGGCATCATCTGCGAACAGGTGAAAATCAAAAAGGGAGGAGCAGAGATGAAAATCATTTATATATATCAGAAAAAGAATCGGGCCAAGGACAGACCCTTGCGGGATTCCACAAGAAATTGTAGTTAAATCAGAAATCACCTCGTTAATTTTAACTGATTGTTTTCGATTGGTGAGATATGAAGTGAACCAATTTTTAGTTATTCCTCTAATACCATAGTAGTCAAGTTTTTTAAGCAAGATATTATGATTAAACAGTATCAAACGCTTTACTGAAGAAAATGCCGCAATTGCTGTCAATCAATTGTACATCAATTGCTGTTTGTATTTTTTCAACTATATTAAGTATAGCAAAATCAGTGGAGTGATTAGATCGGAAGCCAAATTGATTTTTGAATAGCACATTTTTCTTATTTAAAAAAGCTATAAGACGATTAGCCATCAATCTTCCAGGCAATCTCGTCTAGTATATTGCCTAACGTTATTCGATTCCTTCTGGAGCTGCTGAATCTTGGATTCCATTTTTTGAATAGTTTTCTTTAATGTTGTATTCTCAGCAACGAGATGGGACTTTTGGCTTTCAAATGGCTCGAGTTTTTTTGAGACTTCTTCATACTTCGCGTTCGCCATTTCCAGAAATTGAGTTGTCTCTCGTAAGCTTTCTTTCAGTTGAGAGATTTCATTGTGAAGTGGACTCAATTTAGAGTCTAAAATTGCTTTAAGTTCCTCCACAGACACAGACATGACAACGTTGAGATACAAGAACACAAGGATACTAAATAAGGGCAAAACTAGAGATCAAATTTAGAGAGCGTTCAAATAAGCCGCCATTTCTTCACGCGGTCATGCGCAACAAAAAAAAAACACCATTACTCAATTGTGATTGTTCGCTCCTTTGTCGATTCAACATTACATTATTGAAATCAAATTTGAATTTGAACTTCGAAATGAGATTGGATTTTTGATCGTATTTCATCAAGATTTCGTCGTATTTTGCTGGCAAACATGCTGGGCTTTAACTCAATGCATTGCAATATGTTGTTTGTTACTTTCAGTGTGATCTGTTCCTCCTCGTGAGAAAGGAATGACGGTTTCAAAAAGCTGGAAATGCCAATGTTATTTTCTTAACACTATTAACAGAGATCGATGATATTCGTACACAACATGCCGTTTCGTTTTTACAGTAACCCTGGTTATGTTGCGCTATTATTTGACACCCTGAATGTTAATCAAGCCGCCAATGGCGACACAACACGAAGATTGTTAGACAAGTATACCGTGGACATAAATCTGTATGAAACCTCAGTATTTGTTCAGATATGGTCTAATTTCGACAAAAAATCTATAAAATGAAAATATTGAAGTTGAAATTTTGAATATAATAATTTATATGCATCCGTAACACCTTAATATATCGACAATGAATTATCAACACCACCACAATTTCTTTGTTTGAAATTATGATACCTTCACTTTGAATGCTGACCGTTAAAATTTATATTTTGAGTTCTTACTTGTTGTAATGTCGTGCGTGCATCGATTTTTTTACGAAGGATAAATCGATGAGCATTAAAAAATACTAATCGACGTGGATCGGAATGCTGTATCTATTAGCCATATTGACACGATATCTCCTAAAACGACTTCTGAAATCAACAGATTCTTATACAAGAGATTACAGACCTCAAAAATCACATATTGTGTATTTAAAAAGCCATTTCTGTATAAAACACCTGGCCATCTTGGTTACGGATTTCTAAATGCCCGTATGTTTACAGAAAAAAATAAGTGACTTATTAACAAGTTCCTCACACACATCATTTATCTCCCTACTATAACTCTTCGATTGCTTTGCAATCTTCGAGTTAAAAACGACCGTATGTGTTTCGACCCGCCATATTGGATGTTGGTGATTATCGGCAAGTTCATTAGCGCGGGTTTCCTGTGTAGTCCGTTATCCAATCCAATTTTGTTTATAAAATGCATGAATCCAGTAGGATTTTTCGTTCGACTCCCTACGTGTTATCCGTAACGGCTGTAAATCAACTGAACACTGAAGTTTGAAAACGAAAAATAAAATATGAATTGAATAATGAAGTATTGGGGGGTGGGGTGGGGTGGGGAGAATCTTGTCTTTTGACTGTAAAATGCAGTTTTGAATGAGCTGTTTCAAAAAAAAAAAAAAAAAAGATTGAATATTGTATACTGCATAGTGCACGGCAGCAGTGCATTTTTGTTACTTGGTAATTATTAACGGAATTGCTTTCCACATAATTAAGTTGTAGATTGTATAGCCGCTCTGACACCAAGAAATCTCCTTTCAGACGGCGATACATTAACCAACAATGCATACATACCCTACTTTTAGTGTTCAACTTTTTGTGAAATACTGTATTAAGTGAATAGTGTTGTAATCTGGTTCATAATTTGAGCAACCAATACATGTACTATTATTGCCATTTGATAGCACTAGTTCGCATCAGTCGTTCTTAGCCGTATCTGTTCATTGTAACAGGGGTTTTCCTAGCTTCATGATTATATTTCTGCGCGTCATGCCTTGCACTGACGCTAAAAATTGGCTCATTGTTGACAAGTATATTAAGTTAAGATTTTTTTCTTCCAATGGGATAGATAAGAGCATGCGTAATGGCAAACGTGCCTTAAATTCCAAGTACGCTTTACGAAAAATGAAATCAAAACTAGCTATCTATAGGTCTGGACTCTTCTTCCATGGACAGACATGTTGTGGCATGCGTATGAGAGCTTAAATTCAAGTGCGATTTAAAAAACGCAATTCACTAACCATGATCAAATAGCATTAAAAAAATAAACATCAAAGGTGCAGACTCTGCATGTATACGGTCCCTTGATTGAAGTCTTGAGATCCCGTGACAACATCTGCAACGTTTCAGTCTGAAATTGAAGTAATTCGGTATTATCATAGTTATTATTATATGTAATAACATGGCTGACAAACATTTCAGAAGAAATTGTGCATTTTTTTAATTGCATATGGACAAAGGCGCTTACAATTCATTGCAAATCTTGGAATATACGTACTCCAATTTTAAAAAGGTTTTCGGAAATTATGACGAATGGCAATTATCGAACGAACATTGCGACCAAAATAAGACATGTATTTGCTAATAAAGAGGATTAATAACTGAATGTCCAGTCACTGGCAGAAATCTGGGTCATTGACAAGCGGCTTTCTTGGGCTCAGATATTGATGGGCACGCGATAGAAAGAGATCGCCTGAGGCGAGACACAGGTAGCCCTTTGATCAAAACATTTCCTTTTCGTTATAGATTTGAGATACCCTTGTGATATTATATATTTCAGAATGTCAGATTAGGAATTTTCTTTCTATAAATGATGCCGTAATGTCCAAAAACACGAATTCCTAATATTGTACAGTAAAAACAATTTTTTTTTTTGTATATTGACATATTTATTTCAATCTCTCAAGATATGTTTGTATTTCTATTTACAACTTAGGGAAAGACACGCATTAGGCTGTGTCTCTCGAGATGATTTATTCAAGATGTTTTTGTATTTCTATTTACAACTTAGGGAAAGACACGTATTAGGCTGTGTTTCTCGAGATGATATGTTTTCTTATATATTTAATAAATATTTGTACTTAAAAATGATGGCTTTAAAACAAAATGGCGATTCATGCACGAGCCAATTATGTGCAAAGTTGAGGTTCTTCAGGAAGAAAATTTATAAGTGATTGTTTCTTTTCTAGCAATTTTAGACAGTTTAAACACGATAATACACCTTTACCATAATGGCTGCAATTGTGTTTTTCCAAAATAAAATAGATATGAATATTTTGTCACTGTAACATCAAAGAACTATCAGAAATAAACGTTTTTGGGACGTTTTAGAACTCTGGACAAAATGGGAAAAAAGTTATGGTGAAATGAAAATATAAAGAAATGTATGTAATTTTCCACCAATGGCTGTCTGTCTATTTGTTTCTTAATATGAAATATGTGAAAACTTTGTCACTATCATGTGAATGAACTACAAGAAAAAAACATTTTTGGAAAGTTTTACAGCCCTGGATAAAATGCGAACACAGTTATGGGCAAATGAAAATAGAAGAATCGAAATGTATGTAATTTTCAGCCAAGGCCTTTATAGCCTCGTTCTGGTGTTATGATATATATATTTTTTAATTTTTTGTTGTTATTAGCACAGGTTCCTTTCAGCTGTTAGTTTACTTTTGAATAAAATTCTAAATTTTAAAAATTTATGTTAATTGGATGGCGGCCATTATGGTAAAGGTGTATACTGACAAGAAGTAACGGACTTGCCGTACATGGACAAATTTGAAAAAAATGTAGAAGAGACCAGAAAAAAGGATCAATAACCAAACAACTGCTCAGGAAGAAAATCTGCTGTTTATTCACGGTTAACGGTTATTGCAGTGAGTACAAAGATTGAATTATACTCTGAGTACAGAATGCTTTGCTTTGTCAGCACAAATATAATGAAAAATATTATTGACTATACATTTCTTTTTACAAAATGGAAGCCATTTTTTATGTTTGTGCGTTTCAACGCATGCGCGTCGCCATCTTATCCACATCTTTGGCAATTCAATCTTGTTTTTATAGAAACTCCTGTTTTTGTAATCACTCGCACCTTCCGGTTAAAATATTGGACCGATTGCCTTACCTAATTAAAGCTGGCAAAATCTACCTTGGTAGGTTCTGAAATCTGCAACAGAACGACTAGGGACACGACCTTTCTTTTAACGTCGCCATTGTCGCCATTGCCTTAAAGTCCATCCCTGCCCGAGGGCTGTATACAGCGTAATGCCGACGTGCGAGGTAACTAACAAACTTAGTTTTCAATTCACGTGGTTTTCGCAAAAATGAATAGACTAAATGAATGTTTTCTTAGTTGGGATTCGAACAATAGAATCCTCTCCTCTAGTGAGACTTTTCATGGACTGTTGAAATTAGTTTCCTTTGAGAAGACCTCTTCATGCGAAGGCGAGCAATCGGAATTTGAATATTGTTATCAAATATTCTTAACAGTCATTCTGGAAATGATGTCGAACAGTGACGACCATTTGTTTATAGCTCAAAATACGTTTGACAGCCTTCCTTTGCCAAACTTTGATATTGACGATTTGATATCGGAGTTGGAACTCCGTATGCCTCTGCCCGCAAGTAACGATGACAAAGTCTGCAGATGAGAATTACGAGAAAAATTACAATGGTTTTTGATGTTGAACTCGCTCAAAAAAATACGAGAGAAGGATTCTAGAAGGAACAAACTAAAGTATCAAATGGCCGTGTGTACGTGCTTGGATAGAATTGACCGAGAAATACAAGTTACACTATTACTTCTGATTCATACACGTTGGTCTATTCCGAAGTATAGATTCTTTTAAAAAACGAAAATCTGGGTTATTGTTGTCTCTATTCTCTGATGAACATATGAAGAAAACCTGCGACTTATTACGCTCTTAATTTCCTCAAGTTTTGCTAGTCACACTGGTCTTTTTTAGGGGAAAAAATACTTTAATTTACTTAGTTATTTGATATTCAGCAGTGAAATGTGGAGTTGATGAATTGAATTGAATAGCTCGTTATAAACTCAACGGGCTATATATGAGTGATCCCGGTTACTAAAATATAGACCACTGAATCATCAACCCCACATTTCCCTGCTGAATATCAAATCCCTCCCCGGCTTTAAGTTTCTATCATATATATACAACCCTATGAATAACAAAGAAAACCTAGTGATTGGAAACTAAGCACTTGAATAGACAATGAGCTGTGGAATAAGCGAGATACAACACTATGAATAACAAAGAAAACCTAGTGAATTGGAAACTAAACCGCCTTATATACTTAATGATGAAGGCCTAGTGTCTCCTGTTGCAGCAAATGACTTAAAAAAGCACTTAGATGCCGAGTGCTTTTAGTCCTTATGTTTTTTTATGTGCATAATACTTTACAAGCGAATGGTTTTTGACCAGTACAGTTAGAATCAAACCATTCCATGCTGTTGATTCGTCCTGATTTCAGTGTGCAATCTTCAACTTTACCAAAATCATTTGGTTCTCCTGGAGACCAGTTTGTGTAGCCAGATTTGGTCTCGTCAAACCAAGCGAAGGTTCCTTCTTTATCAAGGTCGTTGAATCCGATCCAAAAATTGTCCACTTGACCGAACCCTAGATAGAGAATAGAAAAAGTCATGAGTTAAAAACTTGCCTGACTGTGTTTGCTGTTAATAAAAAACTTCTTTAAAATAAAATGAAAGTATGTTTGTCCCGTGTCGTTGAGGGTGCTTAATACATTATGTAGAGCGGAATAAATAAAACAAACATAAAACATCTATCTGCCCTTGTGGAAAAAGTACAAAAAAACGCGCCCTATCAATCATAAGTCCTGGTTTGTCCTATGACAATGCACTCAGTAGGTTCAATTTGCCTTCTCTGGAAGAGCGCAGAATATCTTYGTGCCAAAGATACATCGAGAACGTGAATGATCCTGTACGAAGTCTAATTAAATCCAGRACAACARAAATCAGCCATTCTTACGAGTTGAGGACAACCTCCAAATACAAAAAAAATATCACGAGAACTGATAGACTTAAAAATTTTGTGTCTGTTAAGTATCTGTAATGTAGTTGTTAAATGTTAGTTGTTAAATGTTGTTACATCAGTTGCGCTCATCCTGTAATTCAGTGTTTTTCTCTTGTATTGCATTGCGATAGGATTGTAATTAAACATATATTATATGTATGTTCATAAGGACTTTGAGCTACTTACGTTTCACGCAACTTGTGAGAAAATCAGGGTAATTGTCTTAACTAAATGCTCTATTCATAGGTTTTTTTTGTTCTCGAGGCGTAAAMTTYGTTCTCGTGACTGCATTTAGATATTATTTCAGTTCTTTTGTTAAGGAGTGATGGATTCTTTTTTACTAGAATCCACAGCCAGAATGTGTCAACAAACATTGCGCAATCCTTCCTTCGCCTCGTATAGATAAGCATTTTCCAAAGACTCACAAGTTTARCAAATTATTCAACCGAAACAACTTGAAGTAAGCTACAGCTTCATACCGAATATGACCAGTATCATTAAAAAGCACAACAAAAAGATCCTCAATGCAAATGCAATCACAAAAGGTGAATGTAACTGCAGACAGAAAATCCTCTGTACTCTCGACGGTGAATATGTCAAACAAAAAGCATTGTTTACCAAGCTTGCCCGGCTCATACCAGTGTCAGGCGACACGATGGAATGACCGATATGGAGTTTACGACGAGATACAACGCGCATAAGTCATCTTTCAACAACCACAAGTTGTCCAACAAAACCTCGCAAAGCAAACATGTATGGGACTTAAAGAACAACAACATCGAGTTCCAAATAAAATGGAAAGTCATCAAACACTCTAAATCTTACAATGGAAATCCTTCAAGGTGCAACCTGTGTCTAGCCGAAAAAATGTACATTCTTACTAGTGGAAAAGAATCCATCACTCCTTAACAAAAGAACTGAACTAATATCTAAATTCAGGTACGAAACAAATTTTACGCTCCGAGAGCAAAAAAAAAACCTATAAATAGAGCATCGAGCTAAGACCAGTAGCCTGACGATCGCACAAGTTGCGTGAAGCTTTAAGTAGCTCAAAGTTCTTGTGAACATATACAAAAACTTTTGTATAAACTATAACCTTCACGATATTGATCAAAGGTCTCCTCCTCCTCTTTGTTGACAAAAGATACCAGATCTGCACCTKCTGACATCAARCGACACCGCTGACGAGCTGATTCGGCGGTTACATGTTCATTAACAAACTTATAGGCAGCGGACCGGCTTCGATACCAACCACCTAGAGATATGATCATAGTATATGTACTTTGAGAAGTAGTGCTTCTATTAAATTAGTTTCAGCTTTTAGTCTTAGGCAATATATACAATATGAGCGGGCGATCTGTATGAGGATTTAAAACAGCGAGCTGTTTTAAACCTCATACAGATCGCACGCGAATATTGTATATTACTTATGAAACGTTRAGGTAAAYTAGCTCAGGYTTTAAAGAAACTTTTGAAAAAAAATTCAATCTGAACGAGAAAATCAAAGTTAAAGTTTATGCAAATGAACAAGAAATCTGTATTTAATATACAACTCTCTTCATGGGCTATGATTTCTATTGTGTTTTGCCTTATAAATATTAATGATTTTTATAACTTTTTTTAAGTGTTTCATCAGTTAACATTCAGCCCTCGTGCATGAATATTATATATAATTTATTTTGTTTTGTTTTGCTTTTCACGTGGGCTTCCAGTCGCCCTCGTGTCCTGATTTCATTGTGACCAGCTGGTTTGTGGCCTGATCGCGATATCTACGGCTTCATTGTGACCAGATGGTTTGTGGCCTGATCGCGATATCTACGGCTTCATTGTGACCAGATGGTTTGTGGCCTGATCGCGATATCTACCGCTTCATTGTGACCAGATGGTTTGTTTATAACTCGTAAGATTTCCTTTTTCATGTTGTAGCTGTTCTGCCGGATCTTGTTGTACAAAAAAATGTAGCTGCTACATACTCCTCGTTTGCAACATCACTTTCATTTCCATTGTCATCACTATCTGTTTGATCACTATGTCAACGGTTTCTACTAAAACTGACAAAGCCAGATTGCAAAATGCTAGATTCGGGTGCCGAAGTTCTGATCAAGCGTCTGCAATGATGACAACAGTGATGACAATGTTAATGGTGGCAATGTTGACAAGAGTGGTGGTAGCTGCAATGATAACAGTGGTGGTAGCAATGATAACAACAGTGATAGAGGCAATGATAACAGTGACAGTGACAGTGACAGTGATAGAGGCAATGATAACAACAGTGGTAGCTGGAATGATAACAGTGATGATAGCAATGATAACAACAGTGATAGAGGCAATGATAACAGTGACAGTGATAGTGACAGTGACAGTGATAGTGACAGTGACAGTGACAGTGATAGAGGCAATGATAACAGTGACAGTGACAGTGATAGTGACAGTGATGATAGGACCATATTGGCATCATGTAGGCCATTTCTTGAGACTTTATTAGACTAGGTTTAATAGTTTAAGATTATGTGCGCTAATAAAAAAAACTAATCCTGATGCTGTAAATGTTCAACTTTTATACTTTCAATATAGATTACTGACCAGATCACACCAAATCAATATGTAGTAGTGTTATTATTCAAACATAAAGATGAATATTGGTAACTGAAATTGTCAAGGTCACAAAGAA